TCCTATAAGATGATCCTGCATGGATGTAAGATTTGATGGTTTTCCCGTGGAGAAGGTATCCTCTGGATACTTCATTTAGAACATGGCCTTTTTTCTCAAAATCCTATTTCTAGAGTCATATGACTGGGGAAAAAAAAAAAGAAGTCTCTAGCCCCTCCTTAGGTTATGGTAGAAAGGGGGAAACAATTACCCAAAAAGACTCAAAAGCCTAAGGGCAAAAAATTTTATTTGATTTTTTTTAAAACTCTTGCGTCAGTCTTGCAATATGCTTTGGTGAGGATGGAAACTTGGGCTTAACATAAGAGTGTTCAGAAATACAATTTAAGCCCTTGTGCACACTGTAACATTGTTTGGGGAAAATTAAGCACAGGCAAATGAAACATATTCCCTAAAGACCTAGAGGTTCATCCAGCTCACAGCTGAATACCTAGCACCCATTCCAAGAAAGCATGGGATCTCACAGGGATGTTTATCTGCTTGAAGCAAGCCACCTGCTTCACATGTTGTAGATTATGACCAGCACCTCCCCTCTTACATCTGACTTAAGATCCCTGAGAGAGTATTCACTATCTAAAGCAGTTTTGCCTGATAAAAACATTTTCTGGCTGTTAAAGAATAACTTACCCGGGGAAAAAGCAGTGGGCAAGATCCTGAGCTAGAGTAACCTGGCATGACTCTCATGGAATTACCACCAGATGATCGAACCAGTTGTGCAGATTACATATTACTGTTCTGATACAATATTGTGCACCTACTGAAGCACTGCTAACCCCTACAGACCCACAGATGCCTCATGGGAAAAAAAAACCCACTGAAAATATCCCATGTAGAGATGCTTCTGTTTCAAAAGCACATTGTTTTGTCCTCTCTTCGCTATCAGAGCTATCTGTAGGAATACAAAGGATCTTATTACACTTTTAAAGTGTTTTACAGCTAAAAAAACCTTGTAAATATTCTGTTGCAATTCTGTATCCTGTTTCCCCATTACCTTTTCCATTCGTTAAATATATAAAGGAACATTTTCTTCCCTACTAGAGCTATGCTTGAGAAAAATAAGAAATCCCACAGACTTAAGCTCATAAAATCCAGATTCCTCCTCAGTTCTGACACCACTGAACTCTGCTACGTTATGTCAGAGAAAGAGTAGGACTTACACTGTTCCAAGAAATTAGGATTCTCCCTTGAAGTGGTGGATTTCCCCTTCCACCCTCTATGAAGCCACCTAAAATCTGCTGTCCCATCTGATAGGCCAAGCGTACGTCACAGGTATCTGCAAACACCCCGTGTCTTCTCAACGGCTCTTACTTCTCCTCAATCCACTGGCATCCCTGGGACGTATAATCTCCACTGGCCTTCCTACTAAGCTTCCATGGTGGCTTCCTCACCCATTTTCTTCCCATTAGGAGAGGCTCTACCACGGAATAGGATGAGGTGTGGTGTGCCAGAAATTGCAGTTCTTTATCTCCCCCCCCTTCCTCTGATGAAAATGGAAAAATGGGAATAAATATTGATGGGAAAACCTGCTTTATCTATTGTTATGCCACAAACAGCAACCAATAGCAACTCTTGCAACACTCAAGACTAAAGACTCCCACTGGAGTTAGGTGATTACATCAAAACCTCAGTTTTCACTGAAAAACAACATTAAAAAATTTAAATTAAATGCAAAAAAAAAAAAAAAGGTCTTCACGGCTCCAGATTCAAATTGTAAAGTTTCTCAAATCACGATATGCCCCAGGAGTGGGGGGTGGCAAGGGTCAAAGAAGAAAAAAAAAGTTTGTTTGCCTCCAAAATCTCAATATTTTTGGGTCAGTCTTATGTTTGGTGGAGAGTGGAATTACTTGTGATATTTGAAAATATGGATTTGATTATGCTCCTCCTTCTCGCTGCAGGAACAGGTACCCCCTACTCTTCCTTTTTCCAGCAAGTCAACACAACTACCAATATGTGATCCCTAGATTACTTCCTTGGCCCAGAGTGATGCCGTACGCCGTGGCGTGCTCGCTAGCCGGGAAGGAAGGCGGCTCTGCGACGTACGAACGCAGTCACCGAAAGCAGCCACGCTACTGCACATTCTCTCCTTGCTACTTCGATTAACCAGACTGCAAATTTGCAGTTGTTCATTAAACTACCTATCAGTTTTGAAACAATTCTAGCAGCAGAGGTTTTAAACCCACCTCTATGGGCTCTTCTCCCCCTTTGGTCTGATTGTCGCCCACCTCTCCACTCTCATAATTGCTGCTCTTCTCGACCCACAATTCCGATTTTTCTACAGTCAGGCGTAGCTGATCAAGATCAGCCTTGATTTGCTTGTAGTTATCAACATCTTGATTAGACACCAGCAACTGAACCTGGAAAGACAGAAAATTGGGAAGCTATTACAGCAGCAGCACCAGCACTTACGCCTGGGTAATTTGCTTGACGGTTTCCATTCTAAGCCTCTCTTTGCAGGTGCTTTATGTAACCTTCCCCATGAAACTGAAACAGGGCACACCGGCGTTTTGGCCCCATTCATCACAAACCTTGCACAGAGCCACAGACTGTGGTTGTCCCAAAACAGGACAGTTATAATAGGGACAACATTCTCTCGCCTTCTTTAATACGCTGCAAAACATTTTCAGCACCAGCAAATACTTACAAGCCCTTGAGTTCTACGCAGAGTTAGCTCTGATGCAACGATTAGGAGCCTCATGGCATTAAAACAACACAGTTACACGGTATTAAAACAATACAGTTAGAAATAGCTTATCCCATCAGCAGAGTACTTTACAGGGGGGGAAAAGATGATCATAGAATCATAG